AGTGGCCTAATGATAAGTGGGCTGGACTGCAGGGCTGGGTTGTTCAAAGCCCGACTAAGCTAACCCAGGATTAGCAAGAATCTTGATTTGAGTTTTGTAACTTTTTGGTTGGGTTTTCTGTTTATTCTGTTTGTCCTTCAGTTTTGAGCTTGACTAACCTCAAACTACACAAAACGTGAGCAGTAAAAACAGTTTTATGCAAGAAAAGTGAATACTTCAGTTAACTTTTAATCCTGGGTTAGCATTAAGGTGGCTCAAAACAGTTTCCAGCAGTTAGATTTGGATGGGTCATTCTAACCACTCTTTATCACTGAATGCTGCAATCATGGTATCAAAAAACTGCTCAATCATTGGTGAACATGTTGTTATCATTTTCGTGACACAATAGGTTACCATAGCAACAGTGTGACCTGCTAAAAACACCTTTAATTACAGCTTTAGGGGCTTATAATTTAAAAACGGCATGGTGAAATTTTTTTATATTATTAAAATTTAATAAGCACAATAAGACGCAATTTTTGGCAAAGTTTTAAAAATATCTGTTCAGAGCCACCTTAAATTTTGGAAACTTTAAGGGGTTTCTGAACGCTATGTACAGAATCTTTTTAAACTTTGCTAAAAGTTGCATCTTACTGTGCTGATTAAAATTTGATAAGATAAAATAATTTCACTGTGCCGTTTTTGATCTGGTTGTTGTGCAAGACATGTTGTTCTCTTGGGGCCTGTCTTCACTGTACAAGGTGGGTGGGGAACCCTTTACTGGACTATAATCCCATCTAGGGGGACATAGAAATACCTCTAGCTTTGCTTTAAGACAATTTTGACCTGATGGGTTCAAAGTCTCGCATGCAGACTTTACCCCTTACGTACGTTTGATTTGATACTATACCTAGAGCAGTTTTCAATTGAAGTGGTGCATGGAATTAAGCTCTAAGTGACTTTTGGAAAATTTTGAGGCAACCAGGATTGAAATACCTACCAGCAATTTCATAGTTTACTATGGATTTCCCCAGGAAGAACATATCTGGCAACAAATTATTATTACAAGTTCTTTTAAGACAGTAATGAAGACAAGACAGGATCCGAAATTAACTTTTTTAGGCAGGCGCCAACTGGCAACTGAAATTTTTTTTCAGTCGCTGTAGGGAAAAATTTGGTCGCCAAACAGGGTCAATAAAATTTTTCCTTTGCAGCGAAACACAAACCAAAATTTTTGGTAGCGAGATGGAAAATTCCGGTCGCCAATTTTTCTTTTGAGAATTAGAATGAAGAGAACGTGTTTGGGGCCTCAGTGTCGATTTTTCCGCTAACAAATAAGATTAAATACAAACACGCTGATTATTTATATACCTACCACTGAAAAACCACGACAAACAAATCGAATGTTGGCCATATACCCAGTTTCATGTGACTGCCAAATGTTTCAAGTCAACTTTATACCTTTTCTTGTCTCTACCTTTTGGAGAAGAAATGTACCCGACTGAAAACTGGCATTTGGTTCTTTGCTATATGTTCAAAACGATCTTTCCTTTCGCGTTTTGTCACGACCACCCATGAAAAGTCGTCTTTCCATTGGGGGTAGAAACTTGCGTTTAGCTGACGACTTTTTGATGGGATGGTTTCCTTCCTGCCCGTCCATCTCGGCACATTTTTCCATTCTTGCCGCTAAAATATTTGGAATGGATGTCATCAGGAATCAAACCAGTGCTGAAATCATCTTTTGACCACTTTGACAGACGCCCAGAGAATATCTAAATCTTCAACTAATCTCTCCGCGGATTTTCCGTCTCCACTTTGTAATAAATTACGGAAAGATTTCAGAACATCTTTGGACACCACATCGACTGGATAAATATACATGACCAAAAAACACACGGTCTCTTGCGTCCGCAATACGTATGTTACGGGAAACTGCTGAAGAAACATAACGGCGAGGCTTCACACTGATTGTGACTGTGAAACGTTGTGGTAGATTTATAATAACAGGAAAATCGGTTTTGTACTTCAAAAGCAGTGGAAAGGTAAAAAGTGACCAATTGGCGGGCGACTCTGAATTTTATTTTAATCAATTTGGCTGAAAATCAAAGTTATTGTTTGTGTAATTATCGTGGCATGAAAAAGTTAATCGCCCGCTGGCGACCAGTTGTGAAATTCTGGTCGCCAATGCAAAATTTTTAGTCGCATTGGCG